GTTATTGTTAATTGTTATTGGTTTAATGTTAGTGGCTATTGTTCGGGACGAACAATACTAAGGAGGGGCAGTGTTACGTCAGCGAAGTCACGTGATTAGTATCACGCCACGTCCTTCTCGAACCTTCGTGAATTGTCGGGAGATTACTAGATATAGTGTAGTCTTGTATATATAAGACCGGCCACGAAGCGACGGGGAGGTAATGAGTAATTGAATGTATGCGGACAAAATATTGTTGGTCACTTGAGACGTGAGTTATAACGTTTGTTATAGAGCGACTGTTGAAATTTAGTGTATCGTAAAGTTGTATTCGGAAAGAATAAACCAGTTTTATTTAAGAAAGGACTTGTGTCGCTAAAGTTTCGTGCTAAAGTTTCGTCGGAACGAATTTACGAAAAATTAATTAAAAAACGGAGACGTAACAATAGCATGAAACATGTACGAACAGTAAAAGCGTTCGCTAGTAAAAACGCAACTAGGCTTACACTGAAATAGACGATGTTTTTTCCAACTATATTTTTTTTGTTGAAGTTCAACTTTTATCTAATAATTAGTTTGTTTTAAATAGTTGTATGTGTTTTGACTAATAATAAATTTACTAAAACACGCAAATAAACAAGCTTTTTCTGTCATCTTAATAGTTTGCCCTCGCAGTACTCCTAGCTTACAGTTGTCATTAACCCTAAAAATCCTTATATTCTCATACAATATTCAAGTTCGTTTTAAAACTACATAAATATTTCGCTGCATCTCAGATTTTATATATATCAATTGTCCGGGAATAAATATGTTATGGAATTCACATTTTGTGTAACATATACTGACCAATGTTATCTATTCATCATAAGATTTAGATATATTTCTGCACTTAGTGATGTTGTGCTGTTGAGCATCTGATAAGTCTACACATGCGCATTGTACTTACTTAACAAAAAACAACAAATTTCTTGGATTACGACACTAATAAGAAACCATAATTATTTAGAAAATAGTGACCTGAAACTGTGTGAATTTTTCTTCACCGAAACGTGCAATTTGAATGAAGACATAATTCGAGAGTGACGTAGGTTCAGGTTATTAGTGGTGATTTAAAGGACATGTATATCTATCAAAATCTAAACAGTTAGGGATTATCTCTATTTGTAAAGGTTGAACAAACGTTTGTGTACCTGAGTGAGAGTTTCGTTTGCTTGGCAGTGACTCAGGATTCCCGCCAAGAAAAGTTCGAGAAATGTGTTTGTTCATAACGCAAGTAATTGATCAAATTTTTTCACTTGGCTATTTATTATGTTCTGATAAAAGTTAAAGGTCAGTTATTTTGAACCGTTATCAAAAGTATGGCCCAAGATTTCGATAGGCTTTCAAAACAAATGTTATAATTATTTGACTGCAATAAGTATTATCGCTACGAATCTCGCTGTAACAGCCTTAATTCGACCGATAGTTAACGTAATTTACTAGCATAATCTATTCGGCTACTGAAGGGTTGGTACATAATTTCGGAGGGGAATTTAAATGTTTCTTTACAGTAACTTCAGGATTTTTCTGTATTTTACGAAGTCTTAATATTTTTTTATGCGTGAATTTCAACTGAACGTTTGTTGCACGGGTCTTTTGCTTTATTTTGATGTTCTTAGAAAGGTTTCAGATATACGAGAAGGAAACCTAATGTTAAAATTTACTCATACTAAAAGAACAACAAAACTATCCATTAAGAAACTTTGCTATTTATTTTTATAACCTACTGATTATTTTGAATAAAGTAGCATTAGCTTTATTGGAAAAGGGGGAGTGTTTATGGGTATTCTGTGCATCATCATCAAACCCCGAGTTTACAATGAAATGAGCTACAAAAAACGAACTATTATTGGAAGTGTTCAGTCTTCGAAAATATTGGATCCATCCCAGATAAAATGGTATAAACTACGGATCAAAGCTAATTTGGATCAAGCTGGGATAGTTTGAATGGCATCTCGTATTGCTTGAATTAAATCTTCTTCGTTGCACTGCTCTAAGACATTTCTCCAGTAACGTAGTGATATACAGTTTAATCGTACACCACCTTTGTTACCAATGTATTTGTCTTTAGAACTATGGTATTGAGATATGTAGACAATTTTTTTTTTATATTGTCGGTAACCTTAAAGCGCATTCTCTGCTCTTCATTGTCCTGTTTCTTCCGTGGCCCTGTTTTTAAACAAACTACTCTGATTACCTTAGCTGTGTTACTTGTATATTAAAACAACATTGAAGCTGTTAAACTTTAATTTAAAACATTCAAAACTGCTTTGCAATTCACCTTTTGTGTAGCATCCGTTTTCCTAACGCAATGACCAAGCTAACTTAATCATATTAAATCTATTGGAGACACAATATGAGCTAATTAGACACGGTACCTTGCTTTTATAATTTCTTGGATACCGCTATATGACGTTAGGATCCACAAATCAGGGGCTGAGTTACGTATGACTACAATTCAGCAAACTTGCTTACTTAACGAGGAATAAAACTCTCCACCGTCTCGCTGTGTCTCCACGTGGAAGTTGTTGTCAAAATTAATTGTTGAAAAATATAACTTTTTAATCTTTTACATTTCTGGGGGAAGCATTAAAAGCATCGAGGTAGATGAAATGAAACATGCAAATCCTATCCAAAAGTCTTTTTGCCAATAAGAACAGATCACCAAAAGTCCAAAGCATTAAAGTTGTATCTAGTGATATCAAGCCAATTTCCCAGAGCTATTCATTTCACGAGTGGCTGGATGAACACAAGGCACCACTGTTCTGCTGAAGAAAATGAATTCACTCCCACATGAAGAAAGAAAACGAGTGGATTACTAAAGAATGAAAGGATTGTTGATGAACGATGATGGTGAGGATAAAAAAAATATATTAAAATCTCTCGGTAACCTCAACACCATCAAATTGGAGCAGATATGATGATTGAAATTATATGACATCATAATGAATAACACGCGCGCGCGCGCGCAAATGTTGCCCCTGTTCACAAAGTAATAAAATAAACGCTTGTCTCCAGTGCCAGTTCTGTCTGTTAACTTTTCGTAAATGAGTTCGTTATTCGGAATAAATTCATTGCGAAAAATCAATTGTTTAACTAACCGATTTCTTCCTGCTCAATTGTTTGTTGCACCTCGCAGGAACTGAATCTTTGATCTTTCATAACTAATCACGTAATAGTTTACCCTAATTACTGGATGCCCAAGTATCTTAACCGTAATATCATAATGTTTGTTTACAATCAACTTGCTAACAATATCTGGAAAACATCAATATAAATCAATTAAAATTAATTTTAAAACAAAACAGTTTTCATTTTTTTAAGATACTGATATATGGTACTGGTGGTATTATATAGAATTTGTAACCGATCCCATCCACTATGGTTACAATAATTTTTAAATTTCTTTTATTAATCACTAGGCAAGTTTTATAATAAAAACGGACTTTTTTAAGGTGTGTGTTAACAAATAACTATACCTAATCCACCCCGAGGTGGATGGAATATAAATAGAACTAATTTTGAAGTTCCAAGAATGGGTGTATCTTGGTTAAGCCTCTGCATGTGTCACACTGCTTTATCACAGATGTAATATCGTTGTCACGCAACTCCAACATTGGAGGTGACGACAAAGATATCCTTCAAATGACAATTCAGCATCAACGACATACTGGCGCCATGTGGCAGCTGAAGCTGAATGTTTCTCGAAATGTAATCACATTTCCCATTCATGAAAGAGGCTTTCAAAATGTGTTCAATCTCAGCTCTAGCTTTATATCAAAGCAAAACGAAGCTTTTAGAAATAAGAAATTTCATATATTACGGTTATCAATAAAGTAGAATTTCTATGAAGTGATTTCGGGCTTGAGTAAAGAGTATCCACAGTAAATGTTGGCACAGTGTTCGTATCTATCTGTTATAGATCTGTAATCACATAGTTTGCTTAAACTTGTATTCGAATTTGGCAGTTTTATTCAAGGTTAATTTTAATCAATGAAAAGTCTACAGTAGAACTATAATGTAAAAATAGGAGAAAAGACTCGTTACTTCACAATGTTAGGTTTATCAATATCAAAACTATAACATTCATGAAAGCTTAATTTAGCTATATATTGGGTTACATGTATTGAAGTGGAGTATATACAGTCGCATAAGTTGAAATCCCTAAAGCCTGTTGTCGTGCTTACTAACTAAATGTGATGCTATTAATTCTGTATTGTACATTGTAATATATAGGTAAAAAATCTTAACTTTGTTGCTTAATAAGCATATAAGGGCTTTAATTCTGTAACTGAATACTCTTAATTTCGGGTAACTGTCTAAATAAACCATGGAATTATCTTTTGGTTTCTCAATTGAACAATGTTACTTCTAGGTAATGTACCCATTTATAAATTACCCAAAGGTATTTCTCAATATAGACCCATTTAATTAAGTTAGAAACTCAAGGAAAACATTTTTCACCTTATTTTCATAATGCGAGCAATAGAGGGTTAAAAGGGATGATTCTATGAAAAAAGGTGCATTAGTTTATAAAGTAGTATATATATCGTACGATAAATTTATATACTGAGGTTTAAGCAGCAAATATAAGGAGACTGAGTTAGAATGATTTTGACTACTTTCATCCTCGAAAACTTTATGATATGAGAAAAGTAAAGCTCAAGGGTTCGTTGAAAAGCTTTATCCGGACTTGTAATAAATATTAGTGAAGTAATTTAACATTACCCACTTTCATTATATATGGATGGTGATTTTTGTGTGGTTTTATAACAGACGTTTTCAATGAGGATTGTTTTGGATTTTTCAGTGAGACCAGTGTACGCCATGGACGCGACCACAGTTGTGTCGCAACAGAACGGTACCATACACAACTCGGTCCAGACAGGAAACATGGTAGACGATTGTAACACCAACTTGATCGTGAACTATCTGCCCCAGACCATGACCCAGGAGGAGATCAGGAGTTTGTTCTCCAGTATTGGAGAAGTGGAATCGTGTAAGCTTATCAGAGACAAAGTTACAGGTGAGACGGTTTTGAACGATCGGAAAAATATGGAATTTTTTCTGAAACTAAAACTATATAAATAAATTAATAAGTAACACAAGTTACTGAATAATCGCGTATTGGCGAAGATATTTCATTGTTATAGCATAGATGAGATGGGTATGCTGCGACCCCGAGTTCCATGGATCGTCCATGTACCATTCACAAAAAAAGAAGAAAATGGTGAGAGTATGATGAAACACAAATAACCTTTCAACTTAGTATTTATATTAATCAAACTGTGATAGTAATTGCTTTATCGTTTCTGAATTCAAATGGTTCGTCTGTCGAATTCCATGTTAAGGAATACCGTGTTCTCCTTATACACAACTGTCTCTTTCTTTATAGATAAGTTACAGTTTTTAATATAATAATTATGTAAAATACTTTAAAGATGCGAGTTCAACAAAGTCTCTTGTCTTTGTCAAGGTTTTCAACGTCATGGCCAGGTGGTTAGGGCGCTCGACTCGCAATCTGAGGGTCGCGGGTTCGAATCCCCGTCACACCAAACATGCTCGCCCTTTC